TCGCCACACCCACCTCCATTGTCCACACTGCCCACGCACATTCATTCACTGCATGGACCTATTCGGTCTCACGCGTATTTACAACAGCGGAATCCGCCGCATCATCGACACTCCTAAAACATATTGCACATCAATCGTCCCGCCCATCCGCAGTTCAATCAACTTCCCGTCGACCAGCGCGTCCACCACTTCCAGCATCATAACGACAACCGACCCAACATTCCCCAGCCTATCCTCCCTTCATTTTCACCGCACGTTCACTCCATGCATCGGTCTGGGGGGTCATATACGAATCCATCGCACGGAGACGGGCAAACCAGTGCCTGGAACACCGACATAGGCCAGGTGCCATCGCCTTCATTGTCTTCACTGCCGTCGCAAATTCAACCATCGTATGGGCCTATTAGGTCGCATGCACCTCCCAGAAACCCTGCCGTACAACACCTCCGGTCATACTATACCGCCAAATCTCTCCTCCCTAGTGTCTACAACATACATGAGCAAATGCAACATCGCACAACACAGGCATGTAATTAGCATCTTTCGCGTAAGCGGGAAGTGTGTTCCTCGTTTCATTCTCCATGTGACGATCCATGCATGATACGTGCCTGAGACTATTACGGTGCGCCAAGTATCGTGGCTTGGATGGTTGCCAACTGACAGGATAACTGGAACGTCACATAGAAGCGAACAGGCGAGTTCCAGGTAGCAGTTCAGAAGATGAAGATGCGATCACTGGAACAAGAAATTTATTGGCCTGACGTCTCGGATTCTCACTCGATTCCATCACCAGAGACATTCGCAGATAAATACTGCACTCTTGGTGCCACCACCACCTTTATCTGCGAACGTCTCTGATGATGGATTCGAGTGAGAATCCGAAACGCCAGGCCAATAAATTTCTTGTTCCAATGACCGCATCATAATCTTCTGGAACGTCACAGTCAGCCCATTGTGTGTTTGTTTGGAGTGGCCGACTGGCAGACTGCGAGTCAGGCTACAATGGCTTCCTCTTAATGTGACCTCTATGGCACTTCCACTCGTTGGGATCCGAGCCGCCTCCCTCTCGTCTTTTTGTGTGGAATCCTGGTCAGTGTGCGTTGTGGGCCAGGGTTTGCGATGGTACGCTTGGGTGCGGTTCCGGCCGTGTCAGCCACCTGCATTCTCTTCCGTCCCTAGTCTTTTGACTCCATCTTGACACCGTGACCAGGTGGGTGAGGGAAGTAATAGTGCGGTAAACTCAGCACAAGTCTACTACACCTTAGCCGGGGAATCTCTTGAACGTCCGGAGGCACCAGAGAAACCAAGAACAGTGCGCAAGTACACGAAGTGGCCAACTGAAAGGAGGGAGTAGTGTCTATCTTGTGACGTCCTCTGCGAAGATTGGTCCTGATAAGACACCTGAATCAACTCAGTCTTTGATGACACAGTTTATGCGAAACTATTTACTCGTGTATCATGTGTAAATTTATATCCTAGGCAAACTTTGGTGATCCACAGCATGTGTGAGAAGACGGCCTTTGAGCTGAGACCTGGTAAGTCTGAGGGAGTTGGTATCGAGGGCTATGCTCCATGTGAGAGCGGTAATAAGTTGTGTTAAGCAGACACGTCGTGCAGGCAGCTCAGTGGCCTTGTTATGCGTCCGAGATTGTGGTCTTCGATCTGGCCATCGAAGGCAGAGGGTAGCCAGTCGTGAGAATGGCACAAGAGATGTTGGTAGCAAAGTAAGCCATGGAGGAAACGACACAATCCAGCGTTCAAAATGAAGTACCGGGGCTGTCAGGAACGCAGATGGAGTGAGCGATCTTAGGACTGATCGAGTGATTGGCCCCGACCTACTTTTCGGTAGCTACGTTCCCCTGACTTACCAGGCTCAAATTCGGAGTTTTGGGAGGATACACGAGGTCATCACCAATTATGAACGCTTCACGAGGACAAGAAGACTGAGGGTAGGTATGTCTTAGGGGTGTCACAGGCCTCTAGTCAAATTACGTTTAAGTAGTGTCTAACGAACGCATTACCGTTAGTGACCGTTTCCCTCCTCATGCCGCGGTATGTTCACGTTTCTGCACAGCCTGTTCCAATCTGGGTTACGAACGACGCAGAAAACCTTTGCTGACGGACTTGTTGGACCAGTGGTCAAAATGACGCCATGATGTGGTTGTGAGCATGTCAGAGTTGTCAGTATAGCAAGACTCGCCCTCAACACCTCCACAGGCTCTGGTGCTCAGTACAGTCGCATTCATCCCATCGTTGAAGGCAACGCTCCTCTGTTTGGGGATTTGCTCCCGTCTACTGATCGCGGAGGACCCCATGCATGTAGAAAGCGCGGAAGCTCCTGGAACAATGACCGAGCTGTTCCATTAATTTGTTTAATGGAAGCTTTTACTTTGCGACGCCACTGCCTCGATCGTCGTCGTCGTCGTCATCATCATCATCATCATCTTGATGCACGTGGTCAAATATTCACAGGTTCACCAACACTACTTACTAAATATACGGGATTTGTGTCTGCCCCACTATTCCGTGAGCACCAGGGGCCTTTTCGTAGAGACAGACGGGGGTAATATTAAGTGGTCTTCGGAGATAACGCAGTTTATGAGAACTGACAACCTGTTGGGAGTGCCTACACTCCCAAAAACAAGAGCCAACCAATCACTGGAGACCACGTGCGTTTGCTCTCCCTACGGCGCTGTCACCTCAATTAGGCGCCTTTCCTTTGGCCACTCCCCTCTTCCCGAAGGTCATTGGGCCGAATGCCGGCGAACCACGGTAGAGTGTTATAAATATGCGTCGCCTTTCAGCTAGTCGCCACTTGCGGTGTTTCTCTAATATACTCCGTGGTCAGCCGTGTTTTCTTTGTCTGCTGCTTTGGTATTGGGGACAAGGGTCCAGTGTGTATACGCTCCACGGGATTTCAAGTATCAGGCGGGTCATAACACAACCTTAAGAATAATGTCGAGAAAGCGAATAGGAAAGCTATAGTAAGCAGCTGGTGAGAAGGGGATTCGGTGACAGGAACAGCGACCTAGTGCGTCTGACTTCTGACTCCTGCCACGACGCATTATTAGCGACCCAGACGGGTAGTGGATGTGGTAGGGCACGGAAATAGGATATCTCCGCTGGACTACGGGTGGCCTTGCTCTAAATTCCAGTATTGGTGCCCATCCCGTTCCCCAACCCTAAACTTAACATTCACCCTACCCTCCCTGGAATTTATAATAAGGCCACCATGATTACGGGGCTTTCCTATTCCAGGGTCCTGTCGCGGACGCACAAGCGAACACGTAGAGTGTGTTCAGAGGATATTTATCTTCCAGTTATATTATATATCTTCGTTTCCGCATCTGAACCTTATCACACAAGGCGGGCGTAACCTCCTTCAACCCTGTCGCTTGGTTACACGCGTTCACGACGTTAGTCTAGATTCCGGCGCAGCTCTACACCGATCTTAAGTTCAGAGAGAGAAGTAATGTGACTGTCAGGCATCCCCTGTCTAGACGCGACGCCACCACAAGGCCACACCGGCTGCGTTCCTTGTACGTGTTAGCAGCTGAACGTCCTTACCGTCAGAGGTTACTCATGGATTGCGAGTCCTGATCCGCTCACTGATCAGCCAACCAGTGGCATGGCCCACATTCGTCGCACGTCGTTGCCTTCGGACACTTGTGTGCCCACGCTCAGCAGACTGCCCTCTCATCTGTCCTGCCTCCTTAGTTCGAAGTCGGCGTTGGTTGACCACAAACTCGGCTCTTGTTTGCGTGCTCCCCAGGGAAAGCCTGTCACCACGTGTCGCCGACTTTTTCTTCTGGAGCGCTTCCTGCATCAGTGCTTGAACGTCGACCGTCAGCCCCACTCGCCTTATCGAGAGTTAACTTCGACTCGCCGATGATAGGGAAGATATTGGAGTGGACAGCCTAGGGGCTGCCGTCCCGGCTCTGTCCAGTGGTTTCCTGTGCCCTGGTTCTCAACCGCCCCTGCTGTTAATTTCCATGCGAACTCCCTTTCCCGCAATATCCACCCTGAGTTTGTTATTCACACTTCATCGACCCGAACTGCCTTGACTACTTCTCATATCCACGTTACCCGAGATGACCGTCATATCAGTGTCTCCGAGCCCTTTGTTACTCACATCTCGCAGGCATGAACCCCCCGCGACATTTATTGCCGTCTTTGGTCCAGACAGAGGGCGAGTGCTCTGGAGGCGCATTCCCTTTGCAACCGCCGGCGCATCTTCCACGAATTATTCACCAAACACTGCACTGCTTCTCACTCGCACCGAGCCTGTCAACACTTTCTTGGGATTTGTAAGACTCACCAGAATCACCCGACTCACACAAAACAGCCCGTACATATCTTCGTACGCTTGAGTCGGACTTTCTGCGTTGTCACTGATGGTGTAATCTTCCGTGCTAAGCAGGAAGGCAGTAATGACAGCTAGGTTGTCAGCGTGGACCGCCTCAAGGCAGCCGCCCCAGAGGCGGTCAGTATGGTCTCCTTCCTCCGTCCCCCCGACGCCCACCGCACGAAGTTGCTGTCATAGTTGTCCCCTCAATCACCTCGACAATCTAAGCTCCTTTTTGCCTTAGTCAACTCTCTGATGCCACTTCCCACCGATCACCCATCAACATACTCTGTTATGCGGTAAGACGACAGGAAACCCCAAATCCGGATTTTTCTGCCTGGGTTAATGATCTGCGGACTGAGCATACGCAGGGTGACCGCACGGCAGGAGGAATCCATCTTCGAAGTCGGACTGCCTTCCAAAAAGAGGTAATTGTGAGCAAAGAGATTGTTTGCAGACCCAGGATCTAACATGAGTGGAACACGTCGTAGTAGGAAACTAAAAGAATACTCTGATAAAAACATAGGAAAAGCTGGGGGACAATGGGGATCTGAGTAAGTCTGTTTGGACAAAGGGGAAAGTTATCTGAAAAGAGGGCTTTTAAAGAAAAATGCACAGGTCGCGAAACTGCACGCGGAGTTACAAGACAACCGGATCACTCAGAAATGCTGGGCTCAATCATGTCAACGGATTCTGAGAGGCGGATATAGGATGGAGCGGAGACTTGAGATGACGTTGAGCCGTTTGTGTCCACTTCACAGGAATCTTCGACCAGGTGCACCTCCCCGTCAACGCTTGGAGGCGCTTTATGTGAGGTATCGACGGACATCTCGCTTTCCAACTCAACTTTCATGCCAAGGGACGTAGAGGGGTAAACGGGGGACTTAGATGTGCTTTCGGGCGGTTCCTCCAAGATCAAGAGACCTGACTTTGCCAGACTCTATAAAAAAATGAAAAGAATAAGAGTAAACAGGAGATAATATGACAGGATGAGCGAAGATTAATATAAAAGCACGAAGTTCGGAAAATTGACCCGGTATTGCACGGCAACGCTCGATATATCTAGGCACAGGCAATTAACACCTTCATTTGGCAGAGGTCTGTTTGCATGCTTGTAGAGAAATAAAACCCTTGTTTCGGCGATCCGGTCTTCTCACTTCTAGAAATTGTTGCACACGATAAAACTTTAACCTTAACATGGGTGAAGTTGAGATTTGTAACCATGTCACCCCTTGAGACATTGAGTACGCAACATGGAGAACCAAGCGGTCGGAGGTCACAAGCGTGAAGTCAACAGTTGGAGTCACCTACATGTGTTCAAACCACCACTCGAATGTGATTCTATTCATTTGTCCTAAAGAAATACACTCATTTTGACACCACCTGATAGGCGAAATTAGGGAGAAACCAGCAAGGGACTGCTCGAACTTGGACGCTCCGGTGAGAAAGCTGGCGGCGTATCCATTGTGGCACTGACCCGCAAACCTCAGTCAATTGATGAGTAGTGGGGGAGGATCGCAGAAGCATGCTAGTGATGCACACATCAACAGCCGAGGGAAAGTTCGCTCGCCGTGCTCGACGAGAATCGTTGTGGTAGTAGTAGTAGTAGTAGTAGTAGTAGTAGTAGTAGTGGTAGTAGTAGTTAGTTAGTAGAAGTAGTTCCCACTTAGCTTGTATTATGGCGAAGACCTCGCTGCCGATTCCCAAATTCACCGTGCTCCAGAGTCAGGCCTAGATCCAAATGACGAGGTAGCCGCCAACCTCTCTCGCACGCAACACACGTGCTAGTCTCTCAAGCAACACGAACCCGACTTCATTCAGATACCTGCCCGGTTGCAGAATCGGCATGGCGGAATAAACCAAGGCAGGTAAATATCCGCAATAAATCAACAGACAAGTGAAATATAACACAATAAAAGGACAATACTAGCTAACCTTGCGAAGTGACTTCATTTGGACAGAGTTCTGAAGCTGCTCGTCATCAACAGTCTGAGAAATGTCCAAATCAATGATCTCAGCATCCGAACACTGTGTATTGGGTCGTATAGCAAAGGGGGTGCTTGTCGCCCTGTTGGTCGGTTTAACACTGGAAAGCGGTGTAGTCGGGACGGCAAAGCGGCCAGGCTCAGCAGACTCCGCCAAAAGTCTGGCAGGGGTACTTGGTGTCGTCGACATGTTCAAGCCTGCAATCGGTGGGATGCCTGACTTAGCAGGCGTTTCCGATTCGACGATGCTCATTTCAGTAAAGGAGGCGACAAGATCGTCTGCTGAACTGGGGGCAGTTGGCTTTTTCCTGGGACCGGGAGTACCACTCTGCGGCATTGATCCCTCTTCGGTCTTTGGCAGTGCGTTGCCGGAGACGCGCGACGAGGCTGCCTTCAAGTCATCAACAGCGGGAGAATATTGCGATGCCGGCCCAGGCTCCGAAGGCGATTCCGAACTATCCAGTTGAATAGTCTGCTCTTTGGAGAGGACGACAACAGGTTCAGTTGAGTTCGGAATATTACGGGATAGTGGGGCTGGTGCAGGGGCTATCCGGTGAGCATCCTCAGAGCGGCGATTATGTGGGGCGAATGCGGTGCCAACAGCAGGCAGCGGGTCACTCTGACGTTCTGAGAGCAGCCCACGAGTCATGTCCAACAGGCGAGGTTGGCTGTAGTAATTGCAGGCAGGTACATTGAACATGGGTCGTTTCGTGTCGGCTTTAGAAGGGATGAACAAATCCGGTGGTGGTGGCGGCGGTCGCGGATGCTGCGGCACAACAGATTCCATGAGAGAGGAAGCGGTAACAAAACCACCTGTGCCTGACAGGGAATTTATCCGCTCGCCTCGTAGTGCCGCCTCGCCCAGATAAAGTTGACGCTCAGCAAACTTACGTGCCATGACAGAGTTAGGCGAGTCGCTGGGCGGCCCTTCCAGGTCTGGACAACTAAAGAGGGCATCGTGATCGGAAATTTGAAAGACCAAATCCTCCATGGTTGGACCCGTGATAAAAGCCAGATGTTCGTCTAGGTCGGTGTCTGAGTTTCGTTTATGACCACCATGTAGTTTGGCCAATTGGTGCTGTGTGGCAGAAAACCGGATGTCCTCGCTGAGGGTAAAGAGGGCACGCAGCTCCTGTCGCGTGAAGTAGCGGTAGAGTTCCGCCTCGTCGGACTGGGCGCCAGTGGTTTGCCGAATGACAGAATCCTTAAAGACTTGACGTCGGTAAATTTTTTCCTCCACAGTTGCGCAGGTGATAAGACGGTAGACGACAACATTGGACTTCTGACCAATTCTGTAAACACGGTCCACGGCCTGCGCGTCAACTGCAGGATTCCAGCTAGGATCTAGAATCACAACCCGATCCGCCGAGAGGATGGTTAGACCAACACCGCCCACCTAGAAGTACAGTGCACAGTCTTATCTATCGGAAGAAAGCACATCAGGTAAAACCTGGAAATTTTCAATGAACCAAAGCAACATTAAAAAATGGTGAAAGAATATGGAGTAAACAGCCGAGACGGGACTTTTAAGATAAGGTCTTGACTTTAAATTTTATATATATATATATATATGGGATGGTAGGGGGCGCAACCGACAGGGCAACGGGCTCGTGGCCCGGTGGGTAGAGGCGAGAACTTCTAAACCAACAGGTCGCGAGTTCGAGGCTCGGGTGTTGCACACTTCGGGCTTGGGTATGGCTGGCTGACGACGGCTAATAAGCCAGAAATGGCCATTCCAGTCTCCCTTGTCTTTGTCGGTAATACCATTCTGCATCTATATATATATATATATGTTTGAGTTCAACATCTTCAGTCGAATAACCGCGCAATCTCCACACCTATAAACCAGTACTAAGTGATGTGGTTAACACGCAAAAACGGCTTGACTGTGCTCCAAATGCTAATGGCAACCTAAAGCCCAGGCGTGTTTTGCCACGGAGGAATCGAACCACTTACTGCATCCGCGTCCACTCTGGTCGCCTTGACCTGGTTTTGCTATCGGGAGATGGTGGATGATGGAGGAGGTAGTTCGGCAGATGCAGTGCGAGTATGCTTCACTACGAACGAATTCACATGCGAGTCAATAATATGCCCTCTAAACTATGGTTTAGGGAGTATGGTAAAAGCACTTTTCCAGCTGAAAATATCCTCCGCCTGAACAAAGGCAGCTTACAACGCGCAGGTGTACTTTGGACACTTTCAAATGGTCAGGCGACTACCTAGACGTTGTAAATCAAAGACTTTATTCCCTTTGCCCGTCAGGAGGCTGATTGCAACGGTTCTTCTGACTGGAATGACTGAAAGTCGCCGCAACTGATTACAAACACCGTGGTGCATAGTGGCCTGTCGAAGACGGTGGCAAAACTGTGCTCCTGCTCTCTACACTACGTCAGGCACCTCCCGAGTACTTTAATTCCCCGAGGTTCTGTGACATGATGGCCGTACTGGGGAGGGGCGACCCGGATCTTATTAGCCATCGACGGGTCTCAGACTGTAACCTAGCCTACATAATTCAGTTACACTAGGTTCACCCTATCATTTTTAGTCGAGGTGAAGAAAGGACACTGAATACGTATGCTATACTTATTTTTTAAAGCATATTGTAGCTGGCTAAGTTACTTGGCAACCATTTTAGAGGTTCGATCAAATGAGAGCATTTGAAATGCGGTGGGCTGGGGGACACCGGCCTGGGCGCAATATTCTACTTAGTCCAGGGACATTAGGACCTGTCCAACAGTTACTACTTTTCAGGTTTAGAAAGAAAAACGGTCGCAGTGCGTCCCCTGGTGTTGGGCACAAGTGTTTACAAAGGATGCTACGAATAAATTCGTGCATGACAGCCTTATGGAATTGCAGAAGACAGTGTTTGCATTGTGTTTCTGACGCAGCGACTTTAGAGAAAGTCGATCTAGCGATAACTTGAAGGGCATGCTATCCCAAACAGGAGGCCTCGGGCCGGAGACTGGTAAAGAGACACACTACTTAAGGGCTGCTTGATAAGTCGGTAACTCAATCAATAAAAAAATGGATGAACAATAAGTGCTAGCAACAAAACGAGGGGGAGGAAACCAGAATTCTCAGAAACATGACTTGGTAAAGAACATCAGGAAATTAGCCGCAAACACACAGTGATATCTTTTTATTTTGAGCCGGTTTATCCAGCACAGACCCTCGGTCACATTGTGTTTATTATGCCGTCACGGTTAGTGAACATAAGTGATATGAGTGCACAAAAGCTACGCGGAGTCTTTCAAACTAACCATCAAAGCCACAGTTACCTTACATCACTTTCTGGCAGTCCGTGCGAGCACCGAAAATAAATTTCAAGTCAAATGGACCTCTGCACGGTTATTCGATCAACATGACTTGGGATGGGCGCGACTAGGAAGCAAGTGTGATTCGTGGGATGTAAAAAAGGAGCCTTCAAATTGAGCTGCTACATGGTCTGAAAAAGAAAGTGACCGGAAAAAGCTGGAGTAGTTTACCGAAGTCCGAATAAATGCAAATCCAAACCACAGGACAAACGTCGATTCGGTTGGCAGCACTGAATGACTTCCGTTAAAGTTGGTTGTGAAATTGAATTCACTGATCAGCGAGAGCCCTTTGACCGTCAATTTAGGGGCAGTCACTCCTCGAGCGGAATGCCAAGGACAGAATAAGTGCTGAGCAAGTCAGGATGTGCTTGGAAAAACGAACCTGCCTGAATATACCACAAGATCTAGCTAGTCTCTACCCTAATCCAAAATAACAAATCGTTAAATCAGACGTATGAAGATTACGCGTAATTTGGCATGAATATAACCTTTACATTACCCTTTACGCAGGTCCCTTGTCAATTATCGACTTACACCAAACGAACTGACGAAGGCCTCCCTTGCAAATTGGTGTCCGAGCAAACATTAGACAGGAGATTTAACTGCCTACCTCCTGGTAATTAAATGCCATGGTGGCTAACAACAGTCACCACCTTCGAATCCCTCTTGAACGCCTACCTAGCTCGTTTCCTCTGCCATAAACTTTTGGCTGAGTTGAAGACTGAGTTAGTGGTTAGTGCTAAGTTCGCAGCCGAAACAGTGAGGGCGAGATGATAAGATGATAAAGTTACAGGCGAGAAAACGAAAAGCTGCTGGAGTTAAATAGTGTTCTAATTCAGAGGTTACTAAGACGGAACACACCTGAGTTGTGAGAAGCATAACGGTGTAGGATGGATCCCGTTCAAACTGTTCTAGTACGTCAACGCGCTCCGACAGTTTCTTCAGTCGGCCGTCAAGCCGAAGGACACGGTGCTTGGGCAGTTCTTGACGTACGTCCCTCTTGTTCATGTCCAGAATTACAAGTTCGGCCATGTCTAGGAGGCGTAGGCTCTGCGAAAAGACTAAGGTTCGATGCGCTGGTCGACCTTTCTCTACGGCCTCCACCTGAAACCGCTCAAGAAGACGGACCAAAAAGCTCAGTTTTCCCGACTCCTGGAGCAGCCGCTCACTCGAGGGGACTCGGATCTCGGTTGTACCATTACGTGCTGGAAGGGCGCGAGACACATCAAGGCCCAAATTGGCACATTGGTCGGTTGAAAGCAGCCTGGGGTGATCGCAGAGTTTTTTCAAGATCGTCAACTCGACTAGAGGCGAGCGCTTCGTCGTGCCAAACAGCAGTTCTTTCACGTGGTCCAACTTCAAGAAGTCTCGATAAATCGACTCCTGTAGAGGACTCAGGTAAAGCCACACGACAATCTCATTCTTTCGCGGCAACTTTCCCTTTTGATTCTGCTCCAACGGCTCCTTAGTCGATGATGCTACCGTTTCTGTCGGAGTGCCAGTGAGAACATCTGATTTTGTCCGTCGAAGAAAGTACGGTTCAATCATTTTGTACAAACTGTCCGCCATAAGTTTGCCATGCAATCGTTCTGCTGCGGTGGCATCCCTCTCTCGCGATCGTGTGATCGGTTTCTCGTATTGCAGGAGGAAAGTCTTCTGAGAACCAAGCAGCTGGCCCCGATGGGTGAAGTCATACAGGCTCCAGAGCTCGCGCAAATTGTTTTGGACAGCAGTGCCAGTGAGGAGGATGCGATGCTTTGAGCTCAGTGCTCGAACCGCCTTAGCAGCTTTAGTTGACGGGTTCTTTATCTTGTGCGCCTCATCAAGGACTAGGTAATCCCAGGTGAACGTTTCACCATGGAAGTGCAGATCTGTTGATAGGTTGTCGTCCGTCAACTTGCTCCTCCAAGTCCCTGTGGCCGCGTTCTGGTTAACGGCCAGATCCCGCACGCCGGCAGCCAGCGTGGAGTAGGTGGTTAACAGGATACCTCCGCAACGCTGTACGCCAGCAAGACCTCGCAATCGCGCACTTTTGCTGGCCTCGTAGTAAGTAAATACCCTGAGACTGGGTGCCCACTTGGAGAACTCGGCCTGCCAGGTGTTTATTACGCTAACAGGTGCGAGTACCATTGCAGTTCTGCGTTTGCGAAGAGAATCTTCCGAATTAAGGTAGCCAGCCAGAAATGCAATGCTCTGAAGCCAGAAAAGAACTACGTAAGAATGCAGAGTCGATAGAGGAGAGGGAGAATTGCAAGCTAAAAAGGCTTTAAAACGCGCTCACCTGGAAGGTTTTTCCAAGACCCATATCATCGGCCAAGATGCCGCCGCAAGTGTTTTTGTGCAAATTCCAGAGCCACACGACGCCCTCACGTTGATAAGAGTAAAGCTTTTCGTATATCATCTTTGGCAAACAAAAACCAGGAGATAGCTCGATATAGCTAACCAACTTTGGCTGATCCTCGTGAATTGAAAGATTCATGGCCTTATCGGCAAGTTTATCAAGATGAGCACTGTGGTGAGGGGGCACGGTATTTTCCAACTTATGGATTTGGATGTTATCGTTGGGCCTACTGTCCTCACCAGAATCTGAAGAGGCCGAAGATTCTGAGGCCCGATTCTCAGCCTCATCCTCCTGGGCGCACTGCTTAAGAAGAGTTTTTAGTCGGTCGATTCTCCTTTGTAATTTTTCTGTAGGACACAATGAAAACGCCTTTTCGAGTTTTACCAGGGCAGCAGACAAATTTCCACCAAGAAACAGGGATCGGGCCTTTTCTTCCAAAAAGCGTGCTTCTGCCGCTGCATTCGATGACCGTTGGGTTTTAGAAGAATGATTTTCCTTTTCCTCAGCCAAAACGGCCTCTAAACGCTTGATTTTGCGAAGAATTTTAGGATCTTGGCTGATTTCATATGCGGCTTCAACCAGTCGAAGGGACTCTTCAGTCTTACCTTCTTCAAAGAGGATGCGAGCTGTTGAAAGCATGTCACTGGGGCTCCCCATCATCTGGGTGCAAAAAGGCAGCAGAATAATGGGAAATTTGGCAATTATCATGTCAAAGTGACGGGCAAGTACTGCGGTGCATAGACGACCTAACGCCGAATGATTGACATGTGTTGCGCAATTATATAAAAGGGACCAAGAAAGGGTGACAAGGTATTTGTATTCTGACTTCTTAATTGCCGAGGTACAAGCACGGGTCTGAAATATTTAAACAAAAAACGTGAATCGGTGATGCAGACTTCAGGAGCGTCCAGTCTCGCCAAACGGAGTGTTTTTAGATGACCAAATGTGAGCACTGATAAGAGCGGGTTAAGGAGCGGTAGCCAATAGAGCGCAGAATGTATTGATGAGCCCCACCTCGTAAAGCGTGACAGTAGAAGTGCTGTGGGGAAAATGACCGCCACTCAGAGCAGACAGTGCAGGGCTCCAGAAGGAGGAATAAAGTAGGAGTATCAATTTTATCGATTTGTGAATAAGGAACAGGTTAAGAGTGAGCCAAAGATCTCCCTTCTAGATTCCAGTCTTACCCATGTACACTTAACAATTACGACCACCTGTATAATTTATCAGGTCGACTACTTTCTCTAGGACAGGTAACAGGTTTCCGCAATCTATTGCTATGACATTGCAACGTAGGTCTCGTGCAGCTGCAGATGCCTCTGGATAGTACAATCTCTAAAAATGTCGGTATGTCAACCAAGAACAGTGAGAAAAATGAAGTGTTTTTCCCCATCATCCTGACTCGAACCAAGGAACTAATATAGTCCAAGTGGCTGGGAAAAACCTGCGACAAACATGATCACTAGGTAGGTAAGGTGTAATGTTACTTTGGCAAACTGCTGGAACAAAAGATCATTAGCTAACGTCTTATGAACAAAATACAATTACTGGGTAACTAACACGAAGTGGAGTCAATAAAAATAACATACGGAATGAAAATATGTGGGCCGATGAGTGACATGTGCATGATGGGGAGGCAAGTCTTGAAGAGAAAGGCGACGTGAAGAATTGAGCCGCAGATCAACCTAATCCTAGCAATAAGGCTTACCCTTAATACTCCCCCCAGTCACAAACCCGTTTAGAACCCCACCAGCCTCTCGGAAAGATGATGGAAATTGCAAACCTAATCACGTCATCCCGGTGAAGTTTCACAATTCTTATGTTAGCACAACACGGTCATAAAAATAATGAGGCGAAATGTTGGTGAGAAGGAACATAAGATACCAAGTCAAATCCTTTTTGTGATGAGAGAACAAATACTGATCTAGGAGAGCTAGTCCGTAGTCTCGTTAGGGCCGTGTTTGTCGTTGAGGTGAGAGGGTTACAGCGTGCGTTAGGCTTACTGTTAGGGTTACGTTATGCTATCCAAAATCACAATCGAAAATACCTTTTTGCAGTCTTGCCATCACGACAGGAAATACAGGTGAACAATTCTTAGGAAGGTGACGAAAGGAGTCTCAAGTACAATCAGATTCCAAGCAAGATTATCTGCCCAGAATATGCGACATTTCAAAGTCAATACTTCCGTAGCTTTCATAAGCCAGTAACAGTATTTCTCGACCATAAGCGCCCTTACCACGCGTCCTATGAAGACCGCAGTTCCGTCCATAATTCAAAACGTCCCTACGAAACTCACTCGAGGTTGGGAAAACTAACATTGAGGTCGGTCACCAACGTCAAGCAACTGAAACCTCCCGACAAAAAAAACTTAAGAGAAATTCTATTGGTCAGATAGATAGGGCGTGCTTTCCGTCTACATAATAAGATACACTCAGGCGTTCCGATAGGTCTATGGGGTGCGTCAGTTACTTGCGGGCAAAATTTAACAATATGAAAAACCCAGTAGACAAACTAATACATGTCTGAAGTTCAGTTTATTTGTCCCTGACCGTGTCTCGTCGAGTTATCCCGTCTGACAGCGTGCCGCAACGGGTCTGATGTGCATTTGGTTGTTTATTTTGAGGGGTTGAACGCTAAATCCGACCTGACTAACTCTTTCGCTCTCATGCATCAGTGGTTTGTGCAAGTCAAACTGACTGCAAATTAGACTGAACACAGTGGCCGACCTGGAGTCAGTTTCCGTTTTATGTGTGCCGCGCGTACAACAGGCAGGGACGTACGCAG